TACTGTAAAACGTAAGATACTCAAAAAACTTGTAGCTTAAAATATATAATTAAAAATGTAAATGAGAAAAAAATATATAAATATAAATATTTATACACTGTAAAAAAGAAAGGAGTTCCACAGAATTCATTCATGTTGTCCCAACACAAATCTATTCAGTTAACTTAAATTTAAGTGGATTAAACAGAAAACAATAAAATTTTGCCTAAAAAAATCTCAAGAATTGTTTTGTTTCAGGTCATCCTAAATACAGCAGGGGAAATAAGTATTGAACGTCATGTATTTTTTTCCTGGGAATGATATTTCTAAAAGGACCTATTTATATAGAATTGAACCAGATTTTGGTAAAAACCCAAACAATGCAAAGTTACATACATAAAAAAAAAAAAAAAAAAACTTATCTGAAATATTAGTTGTGTGTAATAACAATAAAATGGGTGGCACGGTGGCACATTGGGTAGTGCTGTCGCTTTACAGCAAGTAGGTCGCTGGTTCAAGCCTCGGCTGGGTCAGTTACCATTTCTGTGCAGAGTTTGCATGATCTCCCCGTGTTTGCGTGGCTTTCCTCGGGGTGCTCTTTGGTTTTTCTTTGGTTGTTACCAACATCCAGGAAAAATATCAAGTCAACTGCAGCTTTCGAAATATGCTTTCTGAGAAAAATGGTGTTGTTTTCAATACTTATTTCTCGCGCTGTAAGTAGTTAAAACAAGCTGCAACATATTTTTTGAAGTACATACTGTTCCACACAATTCCTTCATGTTGTTCCAGCACAAATCAATTAAGTGAACTTAATTGTTTTTACAAATTTAAGTGGATTGTTTTCCAAAAACACCTTTAGAATTGTGTTGTCAACTCATTTTAAACAAGTAGTTTGAACAAGCAGCAAAATTGTAGACAACATTATTAGCCCTTCTGTGACATTTTTATTTTTTTTAACAGCACAAGGAATTTTTCCACACAGTATTTCCTAAAATATTTTTCTTCTAGAGAAAGTCTTGTTTCTTTTAGTTTGGCTAGAAGTATTAATTAAGTAATACAATAAAAAATAATCATTGTAAACATTATATTTTATTATAATTACAATGGATATTTAATTGTTACTTTAAGTTAGCATGCATCACACAAGATAGTTTAATGTTTAAATGTTTTTCTTTCTTTTTAAAAATATCTTATCACTGTATTAGGGCTGCATAATATATCGCTTCAGTATCGTTATCACAATGTGCGCATCCACAATAGCTACATTGCAAAATATGCATTGTTGAGTCTGAATTAGAGTTGACCAGCAGCTACATGATTGTATTTAATTGCTGTATTTATACAAATTTATTCGACTTATGCAAAAAAAAAAAATTGCAATATAAATAATAATGTAAATAAGTCGAAAACAAGATTATTTTGCTTTCCCACTGGTAGATAAATAAGCTTATTTAAAGGAAAAACTCTTAATGTTGAGTTATTTTTTCTGAAAACGAAAACAAAACAATATTTTTACAATATTTTTTTAAACAAAATTTATTATTTTGTGAAATTTGGAATAGAGACGAGAAACAGCGAAGAATGAAACTAATTTTTGCATTACCTTAATTAATTTTACATACCTGAATACTGTTAGACACCCCAGAAAAGGCATTAAATAGAGTCGAACCATCTTGTGAAACTGTACTCATATTGCAATATTTATTGCAGAAAAATAAAACAATCGCAATATCAGATTTTTCCAATATCCTGCATCCCTACACTGCATGGTCTGTTCTTAATTTACTGGGCTCTTAAATGTTTGCCTGAAGCAATCAAATGTAAAACAGAAGCCCTCTATCTTGTCCCGAGCTTAAAATATTTAGCATTATAGAAGCATAAATATGAATTTGGCTGTTTTAAGCTAAATTGTTACCTATAATTTATTAAACCTTAAAAATCATATCACACACCTTCAGAAAACCACTGAACGGTACAGACGTATGACAGGTGAATTATTTTTTTTATTGCTAATGCAAGGCTAAGTCTTTGAAGCTATATTATATCCATGTGAAATATGTTTGGGTCCAATTCCTGTATCCCCCTGGCCAAGGTCACACACTAATATGTTATTAAATGATAAATGGTCTCAGGGCAGAAGTCTATGTATCATGTTTCATCTTTGTCATGATTTGTTTCTGTAACCTCTATGTTACTGATACCAAATGTAGCCGGCACATACATGATTCCAGACATGAGATGGGAGAGGAACAGATAAGAATGATGACATCTCACGCCACAACCAGATGGCGGAGAGTTTGACCTTCACGTTGAGATCTGGAAAGAGTATAGTCTGTTTATCCACATCGTAGGTCAAATCAGAATGGCTTTTATCATTCCCGCATCGCATTTGTGTAAATAATTGTTGATTAAAGTCGCAAATACTCATAGCCAGCATGCTTTTATCTTCACAAACGCAAAAGTCAGATACTGATTGCAAAGTCAAAATGCTAGAAAAACAAATGCTAGCATGAAGTGTTTGCTTTCTTACTATCTGTATTTGACTCCAGAGGCCTGTTGCACAAAACAAGTTGAACAAACTTGTAAGTTTCAAGTTGACAAACTGAACTAAGATTAATAGGTTGATCAGGTTAAGTGGTTTCATGTTTGTTATAAACTTTCTCTTTTTAACTTGGGATTTAAACTAGAGTTTGTGATTAATTATAGACTGTATGTGGTTAAAAGTGTGACACGTGCAACAAAACAGCCAATCACATGACACCTAAGATGGTCCATTTAACTAATTTCTTGTAAGTGTCAGCTATTTACTACTCTGTTGAAGAATTAAAGATATCGTTATCAGAAATATAGTAAATTTAAATGCGTTTACAATGTAGAATAAACACTGCTGATGCAGAAAATGTAGGAAGGCAGCTTTAAGAATATATTATTTTATTGTAGGTTCACAACAGCTCAAAAAACAGTGAATTATAAAGCTTTGTTTATTAAAGCCAATATATATATGTGGCTAATGTTAATTTTAACTTAAAGTTGTTATTAAAGGGCACCTATGATCTTTTGTAAGCTGTTTGGACAGAACTGTGTATAGTGGGTCCACTGTCATATTGGAGTGATAGAAACACTAAATTTCCTTATTTTAAATTTCCTGATGTTAAAATGTGATCGAAATTCCAGTGATTTTGAGGCTCACCGCAACATTTTATATATAAATGCAATATAGTAAATTATACATTTACTTATTTATTAATTTAAAGTTGCATAACTTTTTTCTTTTAAACATTTTTTCAATACCTAACTATTGGGAAAAAAATTCTCAGCAACCATCTGACATGTGTCTTCTGTCAAATCTGTGATCTGTGCGCCAAAGCATTCAATATTTATAACAATTAGCATTTTCCTTAAATGAAAACTTTGTTAGCATTTTCATGCTACGGTTGCCGTTTAAAACAGGTACTAATATTATAATTAATCTGTTGGATGATACAGTAAGCAAACATTCACCAAAAGCCCTCAACTAATCATATGTGATCATACCGCATAAGAGGCTGCCAATATTGGCAACAGCGCAGAATAACCCCGTTTCCTCAGGCACTGCATCCATTGAGCCTGCTGTCCCCGAATCTTCAATTACCAAATATCCAGGTCAATTTGGACCAAAATAAATCGACCCGGCAGAGCTAAATGTGAGCAAAGCAGAACCAGATGGCCTGGAGTGCCCTAGCTGGTCTTGGGAAAAAATCCTCAAGCAAAATACGCAAAACAATAACCATGACAAATGCAACATGTGACGTTCCAGCTCAGCTGGTTTCCACGAACAGAGATCTATCTCTTTTTATGAGTATGGCCTACGTTTGTTTGTTTAGCGGTGTGGGCAAACACAGACTTTACTGACGACTAAACACATATTTCTGATGGGTTTTTTTCCCCTCCACAAGTGAGACTGCAGCACAGATTTCTTTAATAGCACAGAGATGCAGACCTCAGATGACAGTGGGGATATGAAACACTCCGTAATGAAGTGCAATTGCATATTTTGTGGCAGTGGTGAGCGAGGAAGATCTTTACCACTGATGCTAATTACAGCATGCAGTAAAAAGTCAATAGTCATCACGCTGCATGAATCAAATATCAAACATGCTGCCTTGTTAGTGTGCTGAATGTTGCATTGTGGATTGTGTGCTCAAAATAACCTGCTTTTAGTCAAAAGGTTGCGTTTCATGAAGGGTACTTCCATCAATAATATGGTACGTGAAACCTTAACTGGAATATGAATGCATGTTTACGTATTTCCATTTGTCAGGAATGATCTTTATAGATAAAGCACATCATTAATATCCTTGGCAGATAAATCAGAGAAATTCCTTTCTTGGTTGCAATAATTAAACGCTTTTAGAGTAGCTATAAACTGAAAGGAGGTTATTTTCTAGCAGGTCGTTCAAGTTTTTTTTCACATTCATGTTTTCATTGATTTGAATGAGTCTTTCTCGTTCTATTGAGAAAGTATCGAGTGCCCCCTCGTGGTCAGATCTGAAATCTGCACAGTATCTCCCTCTAGCAAGCCTCAGGCAAGCTGTCTCACAAACTCCAGAGACACAAGATGACACTGCGATGACTTAAAAAACAAAACAATCACGTCTCCTAAAGCAAACAGTGATATGTCTTATTTGCGTCCCGTTTTCAACGTTTGGAGTGTTCTTGTATAATGTAGCCTACTAATAATTGGCTTCCTCCCCAGCTAACATAAGACCAGCGGGCCACTGGCGGCCCGCCGGCGGCAAAGTCGGCGGTCCACTGGCGGGCGCCGCCCGCGGTCCACCGTCAATTTGCTCATCGTTATTCCAGCGGCCCACCATCGGCTCCCGCCGCTTTTCCGACGGTGGTCCACCATCGGACCGCTGGTTTTAAATAAGTGTCTGCTGGCGGCCCGCGGTCGGTCCACATGTCATTTTTAAATATTATATTAGCCTTTACAATTGTATTCAATATAAATATGTCCAATAATGAAATCAAGTACAAAATACTTAATCATTATAACATTTATTTATAATACTGCATAACGAACATACATTAAACACTTAATGAAATGTTTCAAAAACACATACGTTAACAAATATAACAAAATAAATATAAAATACATATAAAATACATACAAATATAATATAACAACATACATACAACAGTTACATTTTACAGTAGTTTTATAAGTAATGTTCATGGTTTAAATATGAACTAATATGAACAATACCTGTACAGCATAATTTATGTACAGCATTTACTAATGCATTAATAAAATCAGTCATGCTTGTTAACATTAGTTAATACATTGCGAGTTAACATGAATAAACAATTAACAACTTTTTACCATTTACCAACATTAGCAAAGATGAATAAATACTGTAATAAATGTATTGTTTATTATGTTAGTAAATACATTAAATAATACATACAATCTTATTGTAAAGTGGTAGCCATTCAACAATGAGTTTTCTATAATAAAGACAAACTTTGAGACTTCTCATTATAAAAATAAACTATTAAAAAAATTAGTATTATTTATATTTTAACATTATTATAATTATTTATTATAATATTATATTAAATTATACCATTCTTATGACATTTAACGTTATTATAAATAACATAAAAATAAATTACATTGCGAATAAATATTAACATATTACAATAAATCTAAACGTGCATTATTATTACAAAATCAAACTGTAAAACATCTGGAGGTTATTAATAACTACACTGGGGCAGCACAGTGGCTCAGACTGTCACCTCACAGCAAAAAGGTTGCTGGTGTGAGTCCCGGCTGGGTCCGCTGGCATTTCTGTGTGGAGTTTGCATGTTCTCCCTGTTTTGGTGTGGGTTTCCACCACAGTCCAAACACTTGTGCTATAGGTGAATTTGAACATAGTGTAGAAGTGTCTGTGAATACGAGAGTGTATGGGTGTTTCACAGTGCTGGGTTGCAGCTGGAAGGCTGTGTAAAACATATGCCAAAGTAATATCCAGTTCCTTACGCTGTGGTGACCCCTGATATTAAGCTGAAGGAAAATGCAGGTTCTTTTGTCTGCCCCCTCATGATTAGCAGATCCTAATAAAAATGTCTTTGAGGCTCCCTTCCGCTGTCTCTCTTGTAGCAGGCTTCTTTCTTATCCTGAAATAACAGAATCATCAGTCATTATTTTTGTCCATCATCAGTAACTAGATCATTATTGACATTAATGTTTGTATTTTTTATTGTCTTTTTATTGGACATCAAGACTGCATCGATTTGATCGATAACATTAATTTACAGTTTAAAAGTAACACTGAAATATTTTTACAGTTTAAAATAACGATTTTTAATTTCAATACATTGTAAATGGTCCATTTGAGTATTAATAGACTGTCTGCTTAATATCTGTTGATTCTGCTCCTTCAACAGACATTAACTGACCCTATCCCTAACCCTTAATTTACCAAGTACATGTCAACTTACACCAACCCTAACCGCAACCCTAACAGTCTACTTATAATCTAATGAGAATTAGTTGGCATGTAGATGCAATGCAGCTTAAATTCAACAAACAGACCATCAAAATAAAATGTGACCATATATTTTATTAATGTGAGGTCAAAGCTGATTTGTTAGCATCATTACTTTAGTGTCAGATGATCCTTCAGAAATCATTCTAATAGGCTAATTTGTTTGATGCAGTTGATATTAATATTAACATTAATAAAAGTAATCATTGGGAACACTTTTAAGTGACACTATAATATTACTTACCTTGAATGAAGTCTGGCAAGGAAAAACAAAGTGGTAGAGTGAGTGGAGGACGATCCAAAATCTAGAAAGAAGTAATAAAAAATATATATATTACTAACACATTTTAAGAAATGGATACTTGTATTAAACAAGGGTGCATAAAGCAGATCAGAAGAGAGTTAAGATTTCTGATTCAAATACTTTTCAATTTAAACTTTCTATTCAACAATGAATCCTGAAATACCAAAACATGATAAAAATAAGAAATCTTGCTTGATCAGCAGCAAATTATGAATACAATATTACATTTTGGACTGGAGCACTGACGCTGTAAATTCAGCTTTGAGAAAAGCAATGTAAAAAATTGTTTAAAACCACTCACTTATGTTTGGATGTCAAAACTAAAATAACTGCAATCAAGACATGTATCAGATGCATGATAATGTAGGGATTTCTTATAAAAATGCACATGAATCTATTTACAGTTAATTATAGTCTTACCTGTGTTTCCTCCAGCTCTGTGATTAGCTCCCTTCATCTTGGCTCTTTTCTTCTGTTGTAGGGGTAATTTTGTCAATCCTGAAACCACAGAGCACTTTTTAAAATTAATATTAGTTTACATTACTGTGAAATATCAAAGTAACACATATGTACTAACTTTAACATTTTAATTCGCTCTTGTTGACAGTACAGTGCTTATTTTAGGCTAAATAAAGTAGACTACCTCCAATAAAACATTGTCTAACCTCTCATCTACACATAAAATGTAATTAAAAGACAACACTTTTATAAACAATAGCTAGCCTAATGCTAACGTTACCTCTGCTAAAACTCTAACGGACTTTTTCCAAAGACACAACAGTCTCTATAAAAAAACATTTTCAACAGAAATATGTCAATTACCAGTAAGAAAAGTGTCAGAAACAGTTATATGTAACATTTGCGTGATTTTAGCGACTAAACTTACCTGAAATTAGTGAAAACTGCCGCATGAGAGAAGTGCTGTTGACGGTCAGGTGTCGTGTCGTTGCTCCGTTTCCATGACAACGCTCTCTGCTGCAGTGCTTGAATGGGGCTCGGTAATGGACACTTTAAAGTCACGCAGCATTTACATAAACATTTAAACAATTCATAAACATATTAAATAATGACATTTAATATTAAATCTTGATTTTTAAACTTAATTTTGTTTTGTTTTAATAATAACCTGTTATATTTAAAACCTCTTGTAGTTTTATTTACTAAACTTTGCTTTTATTAATAACTATATTTTTATTTAGTGCCTCATTCGTTTAAAATGTAAAAAGTGTTAAACACAAGTACTTATATCAGGTACAGAACAGCCAACAACATTAAAAACATCACTGGGTGGGCCATCGGTTAGCCACTGGTGTCCAGACGGCGGTCCACCCACGGTAATCCGCTGGTGGCGTGCCACCCCAAAAAACGCTGGTGGGCCGACATAACTTTTAGAATGGGCGGCTTGCCGCTGGTAAGCCGACGGCGGTCCGCCCATATCAAGCCGCTGAATTTGTGCCGACCAAAAAACGCCGACGGTCCACCAACTCATTGTTTGCTGGGTCAAAAATGGCTGCAACACTTTTACTATAGTAACCTTTTGTAAATAATTATTTACAAAATTAAATTGTCTATTTGGAGATGCATAAAAATATGATTCATAAACCAGGATATACGGTTTATGTATTCAAATGCAACAGCTAGGCTAATTTAAAATTATATGACTTTGTTTTCATATAACACACTTATGATAAGAAATATACATTTTATATATTTAAAAACATAAATTTTGAGATTATAATGTCATACTTACATTACAGCTTCAAATTTGTTATCTTGAGACAAAGTTGTCGTATTTTACTGTCGTTTTTGGCGTTTCGTTGTCAACAAAGGTTTGTAGGCCACATTCATTTTCCCATATTAACAAAAGACCCTACACGTAAATATTTGCATGTATTAGGCTGGGATATACTGAAATTAAAATAAAAAATAAAAATACCCTGACGTCGCGGATTGATTGAAAACCTGCAGACTGTTTTCACGTGAAGGACTCATTTGTTCCCCGGGAAACTAGAAAGGATGTGACGTCCACGTGGCTCCAGAGAACGAGCTCATCCTTTCTATCAAACATGAAAGAAATAATAAGGTCATCTGTATAAGTTTCATTATTATTATTATCATTAATATTATATATTTATTATTACACGTTCCTGGAGGGCCACCAACACTGCATGTTATGGATGTCTTTATCTCTCACTCCCATTAGAGGTCTGTCAGTCTCTGCTAATGAGCTGATGATCTGAATCAGGTGTGTTTGAAGGAGACATGTAAAATGTGCAGAGCTGATGGTTTTCCAGGAACATAGTTGAGAAACACTGTTTTACACAGATACATGACAATAAAGTGGCCTAAACAACATAATGCTAGGGTTGTAGAAGGTAAATGATAAATATAATACAAAAATAAACAGAAATTGGAAACACTAAAGCAAACACACACAAAAAACAAGTATTTTGTTAAATACAATTCTTACAATTATAGACAAGCAGGACACATTAATCAAATGTTTTGAAAATAGAACACAAAAGGACAGTTTTAATGGCCTTTCTATTAGTTTTGTGTTGATTATTCAATTTAATTCATCTTTATTTCTTTAACGCTTTTACAGTGTATTGTGTCAAAGCATCTTAACATAGAATACTATAGTAAATTGAAGCTGTGTCAGTCCAGTTTTCAGAGTTGAAGTTCAGTTCAGTTCAGTGCAGTTTAATTTTCACTGCTAAAAAGTCCAAACACTGAAGAGCAAATACATTGATGCGCAGCTCAACAAGTCCCAAACCAAGCAAGCCAGGGGCAACAGCGGCGAGGAAAAAACTTCACCAATCGACGAAAGTGAAGGAAAAAACCAGAAGAGAAACCAGGCTGAATTGAGCATGACTATTTCTTTTCTGGCTAAACTTCCTGTGCATATTACAGAACTGTAATTTTTCAATTACTTATGAAAATACAGCAAAAGTTGTTGTTTTTTACTAAAACATTAAAAAAAGAACTTATTTTAGAGCAGTAAACACAATACCATGATATTTTTATCCAAGGTTATCATACCTTTAGAATTGATTACTCAGTGTTGGGTAAAGTTACTTTTGAAAGTAATGCATTACAATATTGAGTTACGTTCCGGTTTGGTCGGCAACATGTGAAGACGTGTTTGACGGTTCTCCATACTGAACTAGACATATTTTTAACCACAAACGCATTCTCGACCAGATCATGCCGAAATCAAGTAATTAAAAAACCAGAGTCTATTTAAAGACGATTTATAGTTAATAATTTTTTCTGCTTCTGGACTTTCTCGAGCCTAATTGGCTATGGCTGGCAAGCGCAACAAAACTGATAAGATGGCGGAACACGTGAAAGGGGGAACAGTGGAAAGCAGAATGGAAACTAACCAAGAGCTCGTCCTCCGGGAAATAAGAGTACTTAAAACGGAGCTACTCATGAAAATGGACGAAAAAGCCGAAGCTCAGGCCACTGAAATCAAAACTCAGTGTCAGCAACTGAGAGACGAGTTCGCTACAGTGATGGGGCAGGCTACCGCGAGAATATCGACTCTCGAGACGCAGGTGCTTTCACTGGAAGAAGCTGCGAACGGGCAGTCAGATGCAGTGAGTACACTACAACGAGAAGTTGCAAAACTTAAAAAAGACGTTGTTACACTTGAAGCAAAAAACGAGGATTTGGAAGCTAGATCTCGTCGCTGTAATTTACGCATCACGGGTATAAAAGAGAGACGGGAAGAAGGGAAGCATATCCCTGATTTCATATCTGAACTGCTTAAGGACTCGCTGCAGCTAGATAAGGCCCCTGTACTAGATCGGGCACACAGAACTCTGAGAGCGCGACCAGAAGATGGACATCCAGCAAGGGCATTTGTAGTAAAGTGCCACTATTTCCAGGAGAGAGAATTACTGCTTAAGAAAGCCGCGCAGAGAAGGGAGATTGTCACGTCCGACGGGGACAAGATACATCTTCAGCCCGACTATACTCAAAAAGTCATGAAACAGCGGTCAGCTTTCAATGAGGTTCGTGGCATACTCAGAAGCTATGAAGGTGTACGTTATGGTCTGTTCTATCCTGCCGAGTTGAGAATCACCGCGAAAGACGGAATGAGGCGGAGCTTCAAAGACGCAAAGCAGGCTATGGACTTTGTGAGAGACACCCTGAAACCCTAATGTGTTGCAAACGCGGCAACTTCAGTAAATTCCTAACTTGTGCTTGGTGAGTTAAGCGTCGACTTTTGGGGCTATTTTGTCTTTGGACTTAATCTGATTTCCTTTCTTTGACTATGTCGAACGACATCTAAAAAGAAAAAAGAAACGAAAATGAAACTGATTGACAGTAATAATATAAAGATACATGCTTTTTATTACTGGTCTTTACGTTTGTTCTCTGTCAGTAAGAGAAATGCAGTTTGTGATAATGTTATTCCATTATAGTTCAGTAGGAGTTTAAGTCAGTATGGATAGTTATGAGGATGTTACCTGGAAGTATAGCAGCCTCCACTAGAGGCCAGCTTATAGGAGTTAAGTTGTTCAACGTTTTATTCCCCCCCCCCCCCCACACTATATTATTGTTTTACTTTTCATTTCAATACCCCTCATTCCATTCACACACACACAGGGAGCACGTTCTATGGTACAAAAAAAAAAAAGAAATGATAAATGACAAAGCGCGGTGATACTGTACTTCTAAGCTGGAACTGCCGTGGCCTTAACCATCCGATAAAGAGAAGCAAAGTCTTCTCCCATATCTCTAAACAGAAAGCAACGATTGTTTATCTTCAAGAAACACATCTAATTCCTAAGGATCATAATAAGCTGAAAAGAGGGGGATTTCAAAAAATTTTTCATTCAAAGTTTACTGCAAAAAGTCGAGGTACAGCTATATTAATACATAGAGATGCTGCATTTGAGGAATCAAAAGTTATAGCTGATAAAGAAGGACGCTATATTGTTGTCCAAGGGAAACTCTTTAACCAGCAAGTGCTACTAGTTAACTTGTATGCACCCAATTGGGATAATGTGGATTTTTTTAAAAACCTCATCACACGCCTTCCAGATCTGGACAGTCATCAGCTTATCTTAGGAGGTGACTTTAATTGTATACTCCATCCGGTGCTAGACAGATCTAATGCGATGTCTGGGTCTCTTGGTAAATCAGCTCGATGCATTAATGAGTTTCTGAAAACTTATGGTATGGTGGATGCATGGAAATATAATAATCCGACATTAAGGCAGTATTCTTTCTTCTCTGCAGCTCATCAGACCTATTCAAGAATTGATTTTATTTTTATAGACAAAAGACTATTATCACTACTTAAATCATGTACATACACAGGCATTGTCATTTCTGACCATAGCCCAGTAAGAATGATTCTTTCCTTCCCTGATAATATACCATCAAGGGGTATGTGGAGGCTTAACTCTAGACTACTTACGGATGAGATATTTGTTGATTTTATATCTAATCAGATAGATTATTTCTTTGAAACTAACTGCACGCCTGGCATGACCTACTGTAACCTTTGGGAGACAATGAAAGCTTTTTTAAGAGGACAAATAATTTCATATAGTGTAGGTGTGAATAAAAAAAGAATGAAGCGGGTCAATGAAATAATTGCAAGGATTAATGAGATAGATCAAGAACATTCAAGATCCCCCACAACTACGCTGTACAAAGAGAGAGGGATGTTACAGTCTGAATTAGATACTCTAACCACTGAAGTAGAAGAAGCATTATATCTGAGATCAAGACAGAGAGAATTTGAATACGGGGAAAAAGCTAGTAAGTTACTTTCACATCAATTGAGGAAGGCAACTGAAACTAACTATATAGCCGAAATTCAAACGAGGCAAGGAGTAACTACAGATCAAATGGACATTAACAAGCAGTTTAAAAAATTCTATGAAAAGTTATATACATCTGAGACAAATAATAAAGCGAATATATCCCATTTTTTTGATACAATAGAAATGCCCAATATCAGTGATCAAGACAAGTATAATCTTGAACAACCCATATCTATAAAAGAAATTGAACAAGCTATCAAACAAATAAAAAGCGGAAAAGCACCTGGCCCTGATGG